TTTTTTTTTTTGCGGTGCTGGAGGGGTACGTTTCCCTCCCTCCCTCTTTGGTTTTCAAAAGAGTTCCCCCGTCATTACGTAGCAGCCAGATTTTGTTGGGAGTTTTCCAGCGTAAGAAACACGTGATTGGCGGGGGAGGAAGGGAGGGGGAAGGAGGTGTCAACTCATCCTCACCGAAACTCGCTCGGGCCGATACACACCTGTCCGGCTTTAGTCACCCGGCTTCAGCGCCGAGCGGGCACATGACAGAGCGCGGCCCGGCACACAGCCCTGGATTCGAGGAAGGCACCTGACCCCCTGTTCGTCACAGCCCTGGAAAGCCCCCTTCACCCAGCTATTGGCTATTCTGCTTGGGTTGCTCACACTTTGTTTTTTYCCACAAAAGCTTGGGGGAAGGGAAGAGAGAATCTGCTTTATTCCAGCACAGAGTGGAAAAATTTTCCGCACTCTCAGATTTCTGTGGGACAGGGAAGCYACCCTGGTCCAACAGTGACAAGCAGAGCTCTGCCACCGACAGAATGCCAGGATTTCCAAGTTTTATCTCCTGCAGCCTTAATGCAAACAGTCTCTTACAACCAGATAAACAATTCAGCAAGGCTACTGYTGTTCCTGTTGCTAGGTGAATACACATACACACCTGTAGTGCTGAACCAAAGAAGTCTGCTGAAACCTCAYAGCTCTCTTTACTGCCACTGTGATCCCCCTGCCAKYCCTCAWATTCTCCTAACTAGGTAATGACGCCTTTAAAATGAAATCTGAAAAAAAAACAAAGGTACCATGGGCAGGGCACTTGCTTTTAACTGATTACAAAGACATCTACAATATGCTTAATTGCATACACAATCACATGCAAGCCTTTGCAGAGTCATATCTTACTTCAAGCTGTTCTACAGAGAGGATAATAACTGACAGAGTAACAGATCAAGAGTAGAAATAGCAATGCAAATGACAAATATGTATGTCCACAGGCAAACATACAAATAGATACAGCAAAGGCTAAACAGAGGCCTCCCCTGGTTTTCCTTAATTAAACAAGAGCCACTTAAGAAAGGTTAAAAGCAAAGACTGGAAACTTTACTGGCAYTTGTCCAAATTATTTAGATAGAGCAGTAAGCCGAAACACTGGCATTACTCTTAAATAATATTCTCTGAAGCACTGCATTTAAGTAATAGCAGTACATTTTCTCCAGGGCTACAATTCACACACAACCTCACAAGCCCATCTGTGCAGATGAGGGGTTGAAGTCTAGAGCTCAGAGKTGCATCTGTGAGAAGCAGCTTGCAGGAGAGGGTCTTTAATCTGGTAACAACTGTTTTCAAGTCCTGCATAACAAGAAACCTTGGAAAGCAAGTGGAATATTTGTGAAATCACAAAACTTGGCAGAGGAAGTAGCAGCACGTCTCTTGATCTTTACTTTAAACTAGATTAACTTTAGAAGACTGTTTTCAGACAGGAATTATGAGAAAGATAACAAGACTTGCAAAATGATAATTTATTTTGAGGAAAATTAAACTTTGCACACACATACAGAATTCCATGGGGAGACTCACATACAAGTCACATTCCCTTTCACCTCCCAGGGAGGGAGAGGGAAAGAGTACAGAAGCAGAGTTTTGAGAGGAAAAAAAATTACTGTTCTCTTCACTTGGAACAAACCCAGCATCTTTTTCATTACTGTTTACTTTTTTCCCTTTCATGAGATCAGCAGGGATATTATTGGAAACAGTAATTCTATAAACGTAGCCAGCCAGCCTGTGCATTAAAATTCTGACTATTTCCAAAGAGACACTCGAGCAGTTTTCAAAAGCAGCTTCCACCAAAACCCTGCTTAGTTCTACAATGGGGAGAACTGAAGCTGCAAGATTGGGTTTGTGGTGGGGGGAAAGCAAGAACCATATAGAAGTTTCTAGTTCAAGCTGACTTTACAGTTTATAGACAGAATAAACAGTACTACTACTACTACAAAAAAAAAAAAAAAAAAAAAAAGGCAGCTTGTTTGTGTAGTCAAGCCATAGCAGAATTCTATGCAGAAATTTGATAGGGAAAAACTGTACCTGTTCTCAGCCTAAGTAGTTTCAGCACTAATTAGCTATGTAAGTACACATGTTCTAAGGAGCTCACATATATTTGTAACCTTTATTGMAGCTATGTTAAGGGCAGATGAAAACATAAGTAGGTGTTCTACATTCAAGTTTACCGTACACTCCTATAACTATAGTCACTTATAATTCGTCCTTGCCTTTTCTTCAAGTAGCATATAAATCAGGGTAATCTGCAAACTTTTATTAAGGTCTAACCTATTCTGTATCCAGCCCTATTAGATCTGTGAATCTTCTCCTTAAAACAAATGAAGTAATTACAAATGATTTATTATTCCCACCCAATTATGAAAGAGTAAAACACACTAAAGCCAAACATAAGTAGATTATACCATATTCTTCATCAGCATACACTTGCTAAATCCTTAAATACCACCTAACGAAAATATGTTCCGCAGTTTTGGAATTAGAGGAATTTCAGCAATTACATGAACTCTAGGTCTCCAGATTATTATTTTTGRTCCATTCGCTCCTTATTTTTCATCATCAAGGACCTCAGAAGAAGGAGAAAGCTTTCCTTCTAAGTTCACCATCAATRTCACTATTTTTTGGCAGCTAAGCGAGTGGATGAAAAGATAAGCCACAATAGAAATCATAAGACAAGTTTTTCCATCACTCCTTCATAAGCACCAGTTCCAAAGTACACAGTCCTGCCCTGCTACTGGAGGAGCTGGGGCCTTAAGAAACACGTTTATAAATCATTACAGCTGGATCAAACACAAGCTCAGCTGCTTAGACAGCAAGCCTACCTTAACAAGTCAATCCCCCAAAAATAATAATTTAAAAAAAAAAAAAAAGACTACTACTTACTATAAAGCACTAAGCTGCCAAACTAAGCACACAAACGTCGTGTAGCGCTGCCACCTTGCACGAAGAACCCGCGAGCAAAGAACCCCGGTGGCGCTCACTCAACTCAAGCGAGCCGCCCCAGTCCCCAGGAGGSAAAACGCGGGGAAAAGCGCTCCCCGCCGGCTGCCCGGGATTACCTGCGGCTTCCCGCGCTGGCCCAGCGCTCCCGGTCCGGCCTGGGCGGCCCTGCTGCCCGACTGGCGAGGCACCGCTGCTGCCCGCCCTTSCCGAGCTTTCAAAGGAGGCGGGAAGCGGCGCCAGGCCAATGGCAGCGGGAGCCCGCCCGCCCCGCAGGTGCCGCCTGGGCTCGGCTGCGAGCGGCCGCCGCTGCTTCCAGCTCCCTCCCAGCGGTGTCCAGCTTCGGGGCACCYCTGGAGACAGCAGATTCTTCCTCCAGCCACTCTCTTTTCACTCCCCGACACTTACAAACCCGTGATTATTGCCTCCCGTTTGTCTAACCTTGGTGCTTTACACAGTTTACATTCCTCAAAAATTGCTATATTAGCTGTTTTCATAACCAACAGCTAGGCAGAGATACTAAGTTTTTCAAACTATTTTTCAAATGCTTATGTGTTATTGAGAACATCCCTAGATAGTTTCAGGGGAAAAAAAAATCTGAAGCTTTGCGAAATTACACTGCCTGCTTAAGCTCATGAGAAAGAAAAAAAGCAACCGACTGGATTTAGACTACAGATTTYTTTTKTTCAACAAAGCAGTAAGTTAAAACAAACTGAACTTTTCCCTCACTATTTCACTTCTACAAGCAGAAAAAGCTCTATCTCAAAGTTATCCTATTTTTCTTCTTTGCATATATTGTGGGATCATAGAGTCATAAAATCATAGAGTGGTTTGGGTGGGAAGGGGACCTTGAAGATCAAGGTCCAACTCGCCTGCAATGGGCAGGGACATCTTCCACTAGACCAGGGATGGGGCATCTACAACTTCCATGGGCMATGTTCCAGTGCTTTACCCTCCTCACAGAGAAGATTTTYTTCCCTAATGGAATTGGGGCSRGGAGGGAGTGTGTCTTCTTGTTTGATTTTGGTAATTCTTTAAGTATTCAAACTATCTGAAATAAGACACACTTCTGAAGCTGTGAAACAAGAGATCTGGTTCAGTTTCTTTAAAYCAGTTTCCCTTATGACTGAAGCCAAAAATTTATTTTCTATCTAAAAGTATATGCCTCCAAAATCACTGTCTCCAGCTTCAGAGAGCTTTCTATAYACAAAAGTGGCATTTCAATAAATGCTTTTCTTGTATGAAGAAGGCTTTGGAAGAAATAGGAAGAGTGCAGGTACTTCCTTGACAGAGGCTGTAGGGGGGAACGGGAGATCAGGAAACAATGAAAACATATTCTCATTTATCATCTCTATATGTATACAAGGTGTATCTAGGAAACTAGATGCAGATGA